TGGAGCACAAAAGCAGTCTTAAGTCGCTGGGGTATATTTGTAGCAATAACCAACAATACATTGTATGGGTCAAAATTATACATTTTTCTTTTACGCCAAAAATCATTAGGATATTAAGTAAAGATCATGTTCCACGAAGATATTTTGTAAATTTCCTACCGTAAATATATCAAAACTTAATTTTTGATTAGTAATACGCATTGCTAAGAACTTCATTTGGACAACTTTAAAGATGATTTTCTCAATATTTAGATTTTTTTGCTCCCTCAGATTCCAGATTTTCAAATAGTTGTATCTCAGCCAAATATTGTCCTATCCTCACAAACCATACATCAATGGAAAGCTTATTTATTCAGCTTTGTATAAATCTCAATTTCGAAAAATTGACACTTAAGACTAGTTTTGAGGTCCAGGGTCACATTTATTCGCATCCACACAATGGATGGTAATATTCTGTTTATTATAAGCGCACAATGCAGTTATGTTGTCTGGCTGAACCTCTTTAATTCAAGGAGATTCTGATTGACCAAAAAAATCACTCTTGAAAGTGTTTCGACAGTGTTTCGATTTATAGTTATCATCCTTGGTGTGAACAGCCGTTAAAGACCTGTTCGCAACGATAACTATAACAATACGGAGTGTCTATTTACACTAAATAGCACGCCTTGTTGGCAGAAGCTATTTACACTAACTCCGCCCACCAATGTGTGATTGGGCTACTCACCACTACAAAAGACGATCGTCTTAAACAGCTCCAGTCCCGTAGGTGGTATTGCGCATGCCGTGGTCTTTTTGACTCGATCGACCCGAGTTCGAATCCACCTTCTGCCGAACTTTTTTTTTTCTTCTCTTTTTTCAAATCTCATATCACTTCGGAAAGGCATTTATTTTCAATAAAAAAGAAGGAAATAGTTGAAAAGTTAAGTAAAAATAAAATAAATAATCAGGTAGGATTTAATAATTTGAATTAAAATTATCATTTACACTCAATACGTTATTATTGCATACTGTTTTATAATGTACTACAATACTAAGGTGCAGATAATTGCCACTATTTGCAATAAGTAGTATAAATAGCAGAAAATCCTGTTATTTTAACATAGTCAGGTCCAGAAGCATTCAGACACTGACTGAGTTTTTGTTCTTTTGCCTTTATACACCACTACAATGGATTTGAAATCAGTCAATCTGTGACTGAAGTGCAGACTTTTAGCTTTATTTTAAGAGGTTCCACAAAAACATGAGATTTGCCATTTAGGAGTTACAGCCATTTTAAGCAAAGTACCTCCATTTTCAGGGGCTCCATAGTATTTGGACAAAGTGACATAATTGTAAATATAAGCACAATTTTAATACTCGGATGAAAATCCTTTGCAGCCAATGGCTGCCTGTAGTCTGGAGCCCATGCACATCACCAAATTCAGAGTTTCCTCCCTGGAGATGCTTTGCAGGTCTTCACTGCAGCCACCTCAAGGTCTTTCTGCCTTCAGTCTTGTCTTCAGTAACTGAAAAGCATGCTCTGTTGGATTGAGATCAGGAGACTGACTTGGCCATTGAAGAATATTCCATTTCTTTGCCTTCAAAAAGTCTCGAGTTGCTTTCGCGATATGTTTAGGGTCATTATCCATCTGCACTGTGAAACTGCGTCCTATCAGTTTTGTAGCATTGGCTGAATGTGAGCAGAGAGTATAGCCTTAAAGAGCTCAGAATTCATCCTGCTACTTCTGTCAGCAATAAACAGCAGTGAGTCCGTTCCATTGGCAGCCATACGTGCCCATGCCATGACACCATGTTTGACACTTGATATGGTGTGCTTTGGATCGTGAGCTGTTCCTCTCTTTCACCATACTTTTCTCCTCCCATCAGTTTGGTACAATTTAATCTTGGTTTCATCAGTCCAAAGAACCTTATTCCAGAACATGGGAGGCTTTTTAGATGTTTTCTGGCAAAGTCTAATCTTGCTTTCCTGTGCTTGAATGTTACCAGTGGTTTGCATCTTGTTGTAAACCCTCTGTATTTACATTCATGGAGGCGTCTCTTGATTGTAGATTTGGCAATGATGTGCCTACCTCCTCCAGAGTATTCTTGATTTCTGTTGACGTTATGAAGGGGTTTGTCTTCACCAAGGAAAGGATTCTGTGATCATCCACTTTAGTTGTCTTCCGTGGTCTGATGTTGTTGAGCTCACCAGTGCTTGCTTTCTTCTTAAGAACGTAGCCAACCGTTGGTCTGGCCACACCTAAGGTTTTTGCTATCTCTCTTATAGATTTATGTTGGTTTTTCAGCTTAATGATGGCCTCCTTCACTTTCATCGAGATCTCCTTGGACTTCATTTGGTAGCACCAGTCAAACAGCTTCCAAATGCCAATTTGATACCTCATATCAACTCTTTTATCTGCTTAATTTGTCTTGAAGTAACGAGGGAATGGACAATTAACCTCTTCTTAGTCAACTGTCCAAATACTATGGAGTCCCTGAAAAGGGAGGCACTTTGCTTAAAATGACTGTAACTCCTAAATGGTAAATGTCATATTTTTGTGGAACCTCTTAAAATAAAAGTCTGCACTTCAATCACATCTTGATTGCTTTATTCCAAATCCATTGTAGTGGTGTATAAAGGCAAAAGCACAAAAACTCTGAATACTTCCGGACCTGACTGTAGTTATTTGCACTTCCAATAACAATAACATTATTAGTGCATAGAACAATGCTCTATAATGTGTTGTTCATTATATATGTGACCCTGGACCACAAAACCAGTCTTAATTGTCAATTTTTCAAAATTGAGATTTATACATCATCTGAAAACTGAATAAATAAGCTTTCCATTGATGTATGGTCTGTTAGGATCGGACAATATTTGGCTTGAGATACAACTATTTGAAAATCTGGAATCTGAGGGTGCAAAAAAAATCTAAATATTGAGAAAATCATCTTTAAAGTTGTCCAAATTAAGTTCTTATCAATGCATATTACTAATCAAAAATGAAGTTTTGATATATTTACAGTAGGAAATTTACAAAATATCTTCATGCTCTTTACTTAATATCCTAATGATTTTTGGCATAAAAGAAAAATGTATAATTTTGACCCATACAATGTATTGTTGGCTATTGCTACAAATATACCCCAGCGACTTAAGACTGCTTTTGTGCTGCAGTGTCACATATGTTCTTTTAAGTGGATTCTTATCAATGTTTATATCATTCATCAGCTGGAAAAAATCTCTCTAAAGGTGATTCCAATGATACTGTTCCTCTGTGTCGTTATCAGTATAGCTGTAGTACTGTTCTCATATAATTAGAGTGATTATTACAACTTTAGCTTTATTGTTATTGTCCTTAGTGTAAACAGCCTTAACTCACAGCCATGTTTCTAATCTGGGATGAGAGTCAATCTGACATTCTGAACGCTTCTGTGTTGGTCGTCAGGAGCGGATCCGGAGAACCCAAGGAGGAAGGCCGTGACTCGAAGCCCAGATCACTGCGCTTCACCTGGAGCATGAAGACCACCTCGTCCATGGAGCCGGGAGACATGATGAGAGAAATCCGCAAGGTGCTGGATGCCAACAACTGCGACTACGAGCAGCGCGAGCGCTTCTTGCTCTTCTGCGTGCACGGCGACGCGCGGCAGGACAGTCTCGTCCAGTGGGAGATGGAGGTGTGCAAACTGCCCCGTCTGTCTCTCAACGGCGTGCGCTTCAAACGCATATCGGGGACGTCCATCGCCTTCAAGAACATCGCTTCCAAAATTGCCAATGAGCTCAAGCTGTAAGCAAAGGGTTCCAAAAAATACACATCTATAGGGAACGCTAAAAAAGGAATCTGGCCAGGAAGTTTGAGCAGCATTTTGAGTTACTGCTTCTGTAAGCTACTGCTGTAATGTGTAGTGGAGAAAAAATATGAATGCGAAAAGAGAAAAAATGCCCTAGCCTGATCTTCATGACCTCTTGATATACGCCTGGTTAAAACAACCATCTTGCAATAATATCGAAACCCTTTCAGGGTCGGCAGGACAGAGATCTGTCGAGCGAATTATCGTAACAGACTTAAACCGACTTTTTCCACATGTACAGTTAAGATCTAGAATGTTTTTGTTGTATTGAATTCATGATAGAGTTGTATAATACAAGACTTTCAGCCTACTTATGTGGAGGTGTTGTATAGTCACTATTGAGCTCTGTACAGAAAAATTATGTTCAATGTGTCATACCTGTTTAGTTGTTTAATTGTTGTTGGTTTTTTTTTTTAGATTTTGAGACCACTCAGTTTTAACAGTTCTTTTATTACTTATCAACGTTTGTTTTTAAAGGGACCGTTGATCCAACAATGGGCGTTCTGTCATTTCAATGTGGTCACAACAAGCCTGTGTGTTGTTGTTTTTCATTTTGAAGAATTAATGCAGCTTTATCTGACTAATAAGCGCCAAAAATGATAAAACACCATAATGATAATCCACACACTGCAACTTCTGTGCAATAGCCATACGTTACACTTTGTGTAACAATTCAAAATCTAAGTTGTTAATCACTGAAAATGTGCATTTTTTTAAATAAAATAAAATAACAGCATACATGGCAGGACACGAGGGCAAGTAAATAATGACAGAAGTTTCATTTTGGATGAATTATCCTTTTAATTCAGAGTGAGAATTAGATGTGATCATAACATCAGAATTAATGAGTAAGTGTTTTGTAGAGAAGGCAGTGAGTTTCCCAGATGCAGATGGTTTGGATGGTCAAATCGGCTAGAAATTCGTAAACGAACGTCGACATTAACATTCCATACAGAACATAGCGCGAGACTAACATCATGGAGCTGTAGTGCAGAAATGCTGCGGTGTGTTTGGAGCAACACTGAGCCGTGTGTTTTCCTTTGAAATCCAGAAACAAGACAAGCTTCAACTGTAACTCCAAGATTTTTATTTTTTAAGCCATTTTATGCCTTCCTGTTTTATTAACTGTAGAAATTCATTCAGAGAATGCATGACTTTTTTTTTTTGTAAACCGTTATTTGTTTTGTAATAAGTGGTGGTGATGAAGATGGGTTACGACCTCTCGTACTGGTACTTTCTACTAGTTCTTTTGTACTGAAATATCGAAGGTTAAATGTGCAATGCTGTCTATGTTGTTTCACTGTTATGCTGACTAAAGAGGTTGTGACTGCACACTTTTAAGGGAAGATGAGGTCAAGTTTGCGTAGTTTGAGAAAAAGGATTAGTGGCTAAAAATATTAAAGGGTAAAGCTGTGATTAAAGCTCAGAGAGGAATTGAATGTTCGAATGTCAACTGTGATGTTCCATTTTGTGACGGTACATTTTATTTTTTTATTTTTTTAAAGGCTGTATGGATGAAACCGTTTGGATGGGAAGCAAGCTGAAGGCTGAGGATCTCCAAAAAATGCAATTAAACTCTTCCACACACTCATCCCATTTTTTCTCTGGACATAGTACTGTACATTTTTGTGGAAAAATCCCTTGGGCCACTGTGGTTCAATCCCACTGGAGCACATTAAAGCTTACTTGAAATGAGTCTTTGAACTAAAACGTCTTGTGTCCTTTTTTAAAGTATATCGCATACCTCATTGCAATCATTACATCATGTATTTTTGTTGTTCTTGATAACCAACTGAACATTGTAGTCCTCTATTTTGCAGATGATCATATATGCTTAGGATATACAGGTAGTAAATACTGCTGACTGTGAAAGGAGTCTGTAAACTCAAATGCAGCGAAAATCCTAAATGTAGTTTTCAGTTCAATGAATCGCCTAGGTCATATTTCAGACCCAGAAAAAATAATATATTACATATTAAAGAGAATTAAGGCTATTACAATTCTGTATTGTGACATTTTCAAGGCAATGTGTCAGTAATGGCTTAGTGAGAAGATTGTAATGAGCCTAAAATAGGCTTCATTGTCTTTATGTAGAATAGGGTGAAATATAATCTAGACGTTTCTTCATGAGATTCACCAAACAACTAGCATCAACAACATTTTACAAACATCAAGAAAACGTGTTGCAAAGTCCCTTTTTCATCATAGTGTTGATGAGAACAATGGGATTTTACAGTTCTCACTAAAACAAGCCTGATGGCCGCTTCACTTCTGAGCAGGTACCAGGTCATCTATGCCACTGTTGTTTTCCAGTCTTTTCTCCATTCGGATGAGAAGTTTGACCCCATCCACTACTAGCTGGGTCAGCTCCACTTCATTAACACCAATGGTCTGCAGGTTGCTGATTTTGTAGATGCCAGGACAGCCTGCACATTAAATACAAATAATGCAACATTGAGTTTGCAGAGTAGCAACTAAATGAAGTTAGTTTCCTTTGATGTACAAAAGGAAATACAGAAAATATAGCAGTGGCAGCTACAATATAATTTATGCACGACAAATTAAAATGTTATTTGTCCTGGGGGTCATCTTTTTGAGGATTTGATTTAATCTTGGTGTGAAGATCATCTGAGCAGAATTTGGTTAATGTGTTAAGTTTGTAGAAGGAATAGCAAAAATGTTACGTTTTAATGAAAATGTTATGAAACGTTATTAGCTATGTCAAAATTTGGATGTTGGTGGCACTAGAAAATATAAGAGACACCCTAAAATTGCCACTAGAAAAGTTGGACCACCATCAGTGTTCCAAATTTCACCACCTTTTACATGTGCTATAGGCTTCCATGGCAGAAGAAAAATAAAGCTGTATCCAAAATCGGATACTCTCTGAGTAGGTACCTCTTTTAAATATATACTTATTTCACAACTGTTAAAGAAAAGTGTGGTTAATATAGTATGAATGTGTGTAGTATGAGTTTAATCCGGATGTACTACATCCATCATGTTGTCACTGTAATGTGACCTACAGCATCAGTTGCATCGCTTCACTGGCATTCATAACTCCTTTCCTGTGGCCTAATGGGAAGTCATTTTTACCTACTGGTTTTTGAATACCTTCTAATCTATATATTAGAAGGTGAAAAATGCACCTATTTTTGGATGCAGCCTAATTACATTTTTATGTTAAACTGTGGCTGATGTGCTGTATGATTTTACATTACAGATCCTCTAATGAGTTTTGCCATACCAGTTGCTTCCATCTGAAGTCGTAGTCTGTCCAGGATGTCATCCAGGCGTTTGTTCTCGGCTAGATGCAGCAGTTTCACTGTGACGCTTGCCTTCAGGCCTGTGCCGACCTCTGCAGGTGAGCTGACCACCCAGCCCAAGTGAGACTTCCAGATAAATGGATGTCTCAGTTTCTTATATAGTGTCTCCATCTATAAAAACATGTTTTAGATTGTTAGTGTGTGCAGAATAGACCATATATAGCAAATATTTATGGCATGCCTCAGGGTTCAATATTAAGGCCATTTTTCTTCGCTAAAAATATGATATTGTATGAGGTAGTCAATCAAAATTAACCTTCAGCACATTGATGCAGATCGTTTTAAATGCCTCTTGTAAACAGGCATCACTTCGGTAAGACACCAGTTTCAGATGGTCTTCCATGTTCACCCAAATAGCCAGGGTCCCATCCTCACTTAACCTAATTGCAAGGCAAAAACATACTGTAAATGGCTCTGATGCAAGCATATACAACCATAAATTGTGAACTCTAACCAACCACAGGGCCCTTGCATCGGGCCAGTCACGAGCCACACCGATCTTTATCAAAGACAATGGTGGAGAGTCCATCACAGCCCTGCGATCTTCACTCTCATGGCTGAGTTCATCTATGGAGTAAAGCTTTCCAGGCAGATCCTCACCCAGCTGCTCTAAAACTATAAAACAAGTTATATTAGCAGCATAAAATGTATCCATCCACTTAGACCCGTGATTAAACGCAGTACCTATTTTTGCCAGCGTGAGGAGCTGTCTGCGCTCTCCTCTGCTGTAGTGTGTGGGGAAGCAGTTAGGGAAGCAGTAGTCCTCAATGCTGCGGCCTGCAGTCACCTCACAACTCATAGCATATGCTTGATCAAAGTCATCACCACCCTACACACATAAACACACTTTTTACACATCTATACCATGCTACCACAGATTTTGCTCTATTCTACAGATCTCGTCACTATATTACAATCACAAACTTTACACTGAGAGGAAAATGAGCGACTAAATGAAGTTATGTCTCAGAGGTTTTTCCTAAAACTAAAATGTAACACTTACTGTCAGTAATGGAGCTATAAAACTGATGTTCTCAAACTCACTTTTGGTTGCATATTTTGGTGTGGTTAAAATCTTGAGATGTGAAATTGAATCTCATATGTCCATTTGGTCTCCATTTAATCTCATTGTTGAGATGAGGTGTTGTCATTAGATATTTTTTTATTTTTTTACCTTCAGGTTGTCATAATTGAAGTCGCTCTCTTGAACAGTGTCAGTGGTGACCTTGTAGCCATGGTAAGACTCGATAATACGGTCAAAGAAGTCACAGAACAGAATATACGACTGAGCATCCCCTGCTAAACAACCCACTGCTTTCGGTCCAGTGGACTGACCTGTCAGACAAAGTCAGACTAGAGTTTACGAACACAAATATGATTCATATTTGTTTATGGTTCATCTCTTATTTCTTAATCAGAGAGAAAGGTGTGGCTCTAGACTAAAAGTTCACTTAGCCATCAAAAAGTTCATTCACAACCTTTTCTTTCACAGACTTAGTATGGCAAAAAAATGCGTAACTTACAAAGACTGTCAACCTTTCCCTCCCAGGGACTCCCAACCCAGATTATTAAAAAAATACATATAAAATGTTATACTTAAAAAATGTTAATTAATAATATAATTAAATAAAATATAATTCATATTTTTTTTAAACATAATTTAAATAGACAATGGACCCCTTGTAGTACCTTCATAGAACAAAAGGGGTCCACAGATACATAGAAACTAGAACCTGATATTCAAGTGAGTCTCTTCTGACATGTGCTTACTGTGACAGTCTCTCTGTGTGTGTCTGTCTGTCTGTCTGTCTGTCTGTCTGTCTGTCTTGGACCCCTTGTAGTACCTTCATAGAACAAAAGGGGTCCACAGATACATAGAAACTAGAACCTGATATTCAAGTGAGTCTCTTCTGACATGTGCTTACTGTGACAGTCTCTCTGTGTGTGTGTGTCTGTCTGTCTGTCTGTCTGTCTGTCTGTCTCTGTGTGTGTGTGTGTGTGTGTGTGTGGTTCTGGTAAATGTCCCCACAAAGATGCCAATATCCAGAAATCATTGTCCTTGTGGGGGATATTTTTTGGTCCCCATGATGAGGAAACAAGTTTATAAATCATACAAAATGAAGTTTTTTGAAAATCTAAAGATGCAGAAAGTGAGAGGTAGGTTTAGGTGTAGGGTGATACAAAACAGTTTGTACAGTTAAAAACCATTACGCCTTTGGAATAAACCCATAAAACATTGAAACCCAACGTGTGTGTGTGTGTGTGTCTGTGTATTAGTCAATTTTGTTACCAAATGCCCCCAGAGGGAAAGTAAAACTTGAAACCTAAATGAATGCAATCCCCCGGAAAAAGTAAGTGCACTTAGTTGTATTGAATGTGCACTTAAATTTTAGAAGCATATTTTTAAAAAATGATACTTGCATATGATTTTAATGAAATAAAAGGCCACTTAAGAGTGCTTAAAGAGAGATGCATTCATGACTGAATCTTAATACACTTTTAAAACGTGCACGTTATAATAATGTCAAATTAAAACTTGCTTTAAAGTACATTTTAATTCATTAAGTTTTAGGTCAAAAGCAGTCTAAAATTCTAATTATTGCATTTAATATAAATGTAAACTACAATAAATTTTCATCTAATTGCAATTAACATGCCATTAAGTGTCAGAAAAGTGTCAGTTCACACATTATTTACATAAGAATTACTCATTTTTAAAGTATGCTAATGTGTAGGCCTACTTCTTTTTCACAAGGGTTCCCATGATGAAGATGACTTCATAAACATTAATGTCTTCAGATGTATTAGATATATTCCCCTCTTCAAGGGTAGTGGGTATACATTCATTCAGAGAAGTGATAGCTTCATTCCTCCGCAGTCTGCAGCCGTGTAGCTGTAACTTACACGGACTGTCAATTTATAGAATGAGTCATAATCTCCAGTGAACAGATGCGTGAGAATGAAATTTCGATACTTCATACTGCCAAATACACACACACACACACACACACACACACACACACAAAACAACTCACCCGGATCCTCAAGTCCGGGGCGTATGATATCATCAAAAATGACGCCGCTTTCAGTTGCCCGGTTGAACTGGCGCATGTACATGTGCAGGTTGAGGATCCGGCCCATCAGGGTGTGGTTTCTGTCCAGGTTTGGGAACTCATCTTTAGGGGAGCTTCTCTTCAGATTAAACCTGCTCATTGGGTCACGGGGGAGTAAACTCTAGGCAAAAGACAACCGACAGCGGGCACCTTGATATCGATTCGATGTCAAATATTACTTCAATTTCAAGTTAATCAATGTCAAGTTTTTGATGTCAGTTTGCTTTTTGATGTCAATTTATAGTTTAATTAATAAAGAATTATATTTTGAAGACTTATCTTTTCGGTGCAGTCAGAGTTATTTTTATTAGTAATAACTTTTATCATGATCAAATTATAACATTGTAAATATGTGAACCAGTGTTATTTTAGTATCAGATGAGATACCATTATAGTTTTTATTTTAGTTAAAAGTTTTAGTAATTTTGTGTTTTTGTCATTTAAACATTTTTTTAAAAATCTATATAGTTTTTATTTATGTTTTAGTTGTTGTAGTACATTAAGTTAAAATGAGATATTTTAAATAAAATACGTTTTTTAAATGAATTTTTTTAAATAATAATTTCAGTATTTAATTAAATATTATAATCATGATGTGAACAGTGTTCATTGTGCATTAGAAACGAGCATTCCTGTTTTGAACCAAACTACGTCTCAAACTTGCCAAGAATGGTCAAGGTTGTATAGCGAGAGGACGTGGTTGTGGTGATCCATTCGAGATCACTGAACAATGCAACTGCCTGGCAGCACTCTTTTTTTTTCCCGTCCACAAACAGAGAAGAGTACGGGACTTTCCACTAGCTGGGTGTAAATGGGGTTGGTGTACTTGTGAAGGGGAATACCTCCAGCACAGGCCTGTATTTTGACTCCTTTGGGTGCTCAGCTGGTGCTGAAATAGAAATCAGACATGAGATGTCAAGTCTCAAATACCTCTACACTAACGCCACACAAAATTTACATTTTGTGTTAGTGGTTTTTGTTTTAATCTAACCAACAGGTTCTGATGTTCAGTCCATCTCCACCACATGCAATGGCATTTCATGCATCCAAAATGTGACACTTACGCTTAATCATCCACATTTTTTCTCGTTTCCACATCTTGAGCTTTCTTTTGTTTGTTTTTTTCTTGAAATCGCTTGCACACAGACACACTCCAGCCGACAACAACTAGACGTAGCTGTGGACGATAGCTATGAATAGCCAGAGGGGCTCATCGTCATATGAGCGGCTATTGTCCCATCATTCACCACACAAAGCATGAGTGCCAATGCCAGTGTCATGTTGCCTGCCTGTAATAATGTACCTATTTATACGCTTGTGTCAGTGTCATACTTCACGTTGAAGCTTGAGGGTTGGGCACAAACAATTACAGTGTAGGTCTGTACAATACCGGGGGGGTTTAATTTGGTTCAAGTGAAGAAATTTATGGGATTTTACACTGGAAATAGATCTGAAGATGACATGCTTTGAGAGGAAAATGCATTGTATTGCGTGTATTGCGTATACACACAATGTGTGTTAATGTGGTCTAAGTGTGAATTACGATCTTTCAAAATGCGCTTGCTTTTCATTTAATCACCACAACTGCAAACATTACAGGTTTTACTTTACTGATAAAAATAAATGTAAAATAAAAATATACAGTGGTGGCCAAAATCATTAGAACACTAGTATTTTCACCGGCTAAAAAATGGTTTTAAGTCAGTTATTTCTATCTTTTGCTGTAGTGTGTCAGTAGGAAATATCAGTTTACATTTCCAGTAATAATCCAGTGAGATTTTTGTCTGACAACAGCCAGTGCTCCACACAGAGATCTGATACCTTGTATTTAGCATGTTGATATGCCGATTTAACAGTGTTTAGCATAAACACACGTTGATAGCAGTTTTAAGCTATGGTGTCCTTTGTGGTTGCTAATGTAGGTGGTTCTTATTAACTATTGTAAAACAGGTTTCCCAACAAAAAACTGATATGACTTCAGTAAGTGTGATGAGACGTTTACCAGCAACAGAAAACAAAGCTCAGTTTAACTCAACTTGAATACAAGCATGAAATGACATTAAAAAGTATTTTACACCAAGTTTCTCACAGCGAAACCGTAAAACTCTGCTCAATTCAACCATTTCTTTCAGACTGAGATGACAGTCCATAATTTGATTAAAAAATACCTTGCATACATGTGTCGTGTAATGCACAAGACTGCACGGCACATTTACAGGTATGTGCGTCACTACAATATAAAAACATGGTGATGTGAGAACATAAGAGTAAACTTTACTTCTTTCATTTGTTAGGTAAGCAAATGTGTTTTTATATGTTAGAATATGGCCAGCGCTGGGAGTAAAGCATTACAAGTAACAGAAGTTACGTAATCAGATCAGATCGTTTTTCAAGTAACTAGTAAAAGTATCACATTACTTTTAAATTTACAACGAAATACCCGAGCGACAATTTTTCAAATAAGTAACGCAAGCAATTAGTTACTTTTTACGGGGTAACGCAATATTATAATGCATTACTTTTAAAAGTAACTTTCCCTGACTCTGAATATGGCAGTTACACACTGGGTTGCCTAATTAAACCACAGAGATAGCTAGCTATGGCCCACTGAAATAACTTTAACATGAAAACAACTTCTGTAAAGTTTAAAAATATCAGAGCCAGTTGTTGGGGTGGGCTCTTACAGCTTTGACCACTGAGCTTCAGAAAAACCAACTAACCACTGTCCTTTTTCCTCAACAAACACTGAGGATAGCATCGATCAGGCGTCAAGACACACTATTTGAAATTATTTCCTTTATTGACTAGAAAGCAGTGCAGAGAGAGATGGGGATAGATTAAAAAAGCATTAAAACATGACCCAGGTCTTTATGAGCCAACATGTTGCAGGCAAGTGTGCTTTGATCTGCACCACTCACTCCGACAAGACAAAGACCATTAAGCAGACATGGATCTTGGCTAGAAATAATCAGTATCATAAAAGGTTATGTTTTAAGACCGATAATGTTCTCATGTGCAGAATTTTGTTCATTCACATCCAAACTGAAATTTCATAAATATGGCACATAAGAGCAATACATTCAACACCTTCAGCTGGTTTGAACTGATTCAGATTGATGAAAATCTGTGCATGTAAACATAATAACCAGTGCTACTACAACAAATGTCTTCAAGCGGGTATTAAGTGACCCTCCAGTGAATCCTGGACACTGTTTTGGGACAATTCGTTTTTCTCATAGGCTACAAGTCCTCTAATCCAGTTGTGTCCACCTTTACTTTGATGAATAGCGTGTCGTCTCTCACATAAACGGCATTTCGAGGGGCCTCCAGATCGCCGTGTGATATGAATCTCGGGAAACCCGTGGCCACATTAGAATCAGATGTTGGCCGATGAAAGCTATCGCTGTTGGTATCGGGGGTGAAAGTATTGGTCTGGTGGTTCCTCGAGCCACTTTGATCCAGCAGTGTTAACGTTACGTTCTGTCTGAACGGCCATGGTAAGAGCGAGTCGAAGTCTCCGCGCATTATCGTGATGTAGAGCGACAGGTGAGTGCCTCTCCCTGAATTCTCCCCACCGAGGTAAGCCCGCACACTGAGCTTGTAGCCGCTACGGCTGGTGTAGAAGGGGGTTGAGTTGAGCAGGGTGCCGGCCTCTTTCCGGTGCCAGTAGTCACGCACTTTCCAGATGAGCTTCCCGTCGTAGGAAGTGGATTCCAGCTGGCGGAAACGCTGCTCGTTACACTGCAGCTGCTCCACGTGGATGTCTAACAAGCGGGTATGACGCTGACACGTCTGCTCTAACGCACCTGAAGGACACAAACACACACAGTTCTACTGTTACCATTTCCACAAAGAACATCTGGATGGTATTGTTCTGTGTGAGACCAGAAACAAACTCTATAATTCACTCATCTTATGTATAGACCATGACACACTAAGCCAGGGTTGTCAAAACTCGTCTTGGAGGGGCAGTGCAAAGCCACTAGAGACAAGCCTGCAACCATTAGCCAAAAATGCGTAACAGCTAATGCTAACGGAAAGGAGAACATAGAGGAGTTTTTTTTTTTTAATGGATGTCAATGGAGGAGAGGCTTCACTCTGCTGAATAAACAGCTTTTTAGAGGAAACGGCTCATCATTTAATGAATCGACAGCCTATCGGCTAATCTTCAACATGTTTTACACTAAACAATACTTTTGGATTGAACTATTTTTAGAGTTTATACTGAAAAAATGCCGTTTTATAAGAGAAATCACTGACTTTTTGTGACAGATGGGATACAGCTTACGACATTTCCCATTCATTCCTATGATATCCGTAAACGCCGATTGAGTGCCGTACAACTCTGACTGAAATTTAATGACATCAAGGCTGTAATGTGATTGGTTATGAAGGGACACGTGATTCACGTTAGCCATTACGCTCTCTCCAATAGTAAATAATACAGACCCTCTCATCTCCCTGTAGTAAGACAATCTCTGGCCGGTGTCCCGCAGTTTAGCTCCAACTTGTCTCAACACACCTGCCTGGAAGTTTCTAGTATCCCTAGTAACGCCTTGATTAGCTGGCTCAGGTGTGTTTAATTGGGGTTGGAGTTAAACTCTGCAGGCTGTTGGCCCTTCAGTATCAGGATTTTTGGACACCCCTGGATTAAACAATGTCAACATAGGGCTGGACGATATGACGTAAAATCTAAATCTCAATTAATTGAACATTTTACCTCGATTATGATTAATGAACAATTATTTTATTTATGTATTTGCCCTCTGACAAGGTCTGTACTGTAAATATACTCAACTATTAAAGGTGGGATATTTTATCTAATGAAAGAGTGCATTTCTTATCTTTGTGGTTTTAAAATAATGAAAAGCTAAACATTGCAGGAAGGTGACCCTCCAGGAGCAAGATGGGACACCCGGCCCAGTTCTTGCATTACTGCGAAGACAACAAACATCAATTCTCGATGGGCAACATTATCCTTCAAATGTTTTGGCCAGTAAAACCATGTGTTATTCAAATAGGTAACAAAAAACCCTGAAAGTCTACCTAATTTGTTTAGCAAGGCAAGTCTCTTCAAACTGTCGCTCTACCAAAAGCCTACCCTGTTGAACAGCATATGTTGGTTAGGTATGTTTTGAAGCATAGTAGCTGGTTTAAAGGGGTCATATGATGCGATTTCAAATTTTCCTTTCTCTTTGGAGTGTTACAAGCTCTTGGTGATAAAGAAGATCTGTAAAGTTGCAAAGACTAAAGTCTCAAATCCAAAGAAATATTCTTTATGTCGTTTCTCCGATCACAAATGCAGACATGGTTTTATGTTTATGTGGCGCAATACGCAACGCAATGCGTAAAAACACAGTATAAGTCATTATAATCAGTAATTATGTCCCCACTGGATGCAACAAATGCCTCGTTTGTAATGGGTTTTATTGGTTTTGTCTCGTCATGCCGGGAGACAGCATCACAGTATGGTAAGGGGCGTAACATTTCCGTCACCTTGCTTTTCAGACCAATGAGCTTTGAAATTCCCATTAATTAATTCCCATTAAACCAAATCAGTCTCACTAGTCCTGCCGTTTTGATTCTCTAAGCAATATGACATCACATTGCTTAGGCCCCGCCCACGCCTTTGACTGACAGCCCTGCATTGCCATAGTTTCCACCCTCAGAGAGTTGAATGGTGTCCTTCATTTTCTCCGCTCTCGAGCAACTGTAACGTCAACAATGTCTCGTAAGCAATCCCCATGTTCTGTGTTTGGATGTAAGACTGAAGATAAGAGTCTTCATTTTCTCCCAACATCTGAGCTGCTGAGGACGCAGTGGATTATTTTTATTTTTGAAGGTAATGCGCCTCAAAATCTACTTAAATACATTTATGTCTGGGCAAATCAAAATGTTAAAATTAAGTGTTATGTCATATGTGTTTTTGCTCAATATTAATATAGGGGGAGATCTTGTAGTGTTTAATGTTGTATTATATTGAAATGTAAAAGGGTTTCTGGTATGTGTAAGTTTGTGGGGTTACCATTGTGCAGAAGAGTAGAGCCTGTGGGCAGGAAGACGATTAGCCAAATTGTAGTAAATTATGTTACATCATTTAAAAAATAATGGCTGTGCAATTTTCAACACAGTGATAGTCTGTTCACTAAGTGCTTTGTTATGAGCAGGTGTGCTTAAGCTATTGTAAGCTAGCTATATTTTAAAATATGAAACGTGTATATCATAAATGATTATTAAATAAAATAAATATATGTTTCCATATATGTGTGTATAAACTGCATGAG